GGAAAGAGAGACAGAGAGATAGAGAGTGAGAGAGGGAAAGAGAGACAGAGAGATAGAGAGTGAGAGAGAGAGAGAGAAAGAGAGAGGGAAAGAGAGACAGAGAGATAGAGAGTGAGAGAGGGAAAGAGAGACAAAGAGATAGAGAGTGAGAGAGAGAGAGAGAAAGAGAGAGGGAAAGAGAGACAGAGAGATAGAGAGTGAGAGAGGGAAAGAGAGACAGAGAGATAGAGAGTGAGAGAATGGTACGTGAGTGAAAGCGAGATTGTGTACCAAAGACAACACCATGACAACGTAAAGATGAAAACAATACCAGAGCCCTGTTTGAATTTGATCAGATTATTATTATCTTAATTAACTAAAACTTTAAAAAACCCACTGTCAGTCAGAATGGCTAAAATATATCTCATCATTTTTCCCTACCTTCATGCCCAGCCCACAGGTGGCGCTGCAGGGTGACCAGTCTGACCATCCAGTGACCGCACATACGTCATTGGGGTCTCTCTCCTCGTCATGACGCATGACAAAGTTGTCGCTGAGCTTTTTACGCTGGGTATCTGAACACACGGGGTGGGCGGGGCGGGCGGGCGGGGGGGGGGAGAGAAAAATATTACGTTTAGTTCTTATTCTAATATGAGACAAACCTGACTTAAAATGTAAACTGAATTCTTTAAACTTGATTTTCTGCTATATAACCCTCTTCTCCCATATACACACAACCACTTGCAGCAACAAAGTTTATGAACAACAACAACAACAACAACAACAACAGCATAATAATCATCATCATCATCATAATAATAACAACAATAACAAAAGTAATAAAATAACAACATAGCATAGTTCATTACGGAAAGCAGCAAAGTTCAAAGACATTTTCAAACAGGAACATCGTTCTACAAGCCATCCCAGACAGACATACAGACATGGGGGGGGGGGAAAAGGTAAGCAACTGGGGTGACCATTATCCTGTTCTTACACCTCGAAAAAAGTCCCGACCAACTGGACTACTACTTACCCATATGCTCAGCACACAGGTCCACGCATTCCTTCTCCGTCTCAAAGCGGTTCTCGTTGCCCCGACAACCGCCGTAGCTGAACACCTGGCACTTCTGCATGGTGTGGTTGTAGAACCAGCGCGGGAAATCTCCGCGACATGGGCCAACGTCTGCTCGTTGTTGGCAGATGGCTGGGGAGGGGGAGTGGGATGGTAGAGGATTTGGGGGCGGGAGTGAGAAGGATTGTAACAGTAAGTCCAAATTCATCATCATCATCATTGTTAAAATTTCTTCTTCTTCTTCTTCTTCTTCTTCTTCTTCTTCTTCTTCTTCTTCTTCTTCTTCTTCTTCTTCTTCTTCTTCTTCTTCTTTT